ATATAAACTAATGACATATTACTAATGGTTAAATATCAATAATTGCTTTATATAGGTGATGTCACACCTCATTTGGATGATCATCATCTACTATAGTTAACAAATGGGCAAGCTTTCTATGCTTTTTCTACAACATAAAACTTATATATTTGCCCTTATCCAACCATCCATTCTAAAATAACGGCTGAGATGGTCTCAATCACAATGTCACGTCTCTATACTATTTTATTTTTTATTTTTTTTTTCATAAAATATTGATACCAAAATTTTGGTGTCTATTCCTCTCTTGAACTCGAACTTGTAAAAAAAAAAAAATCAATAAAATAAAATGCTCAAAATACCCCTAAAAGTTTTTAGGGGTATTTTGATAATTATATTTTATCAAAAAATTATTTTTAATATTCTTTTTTTAGGTGCACCCCATTGAGAAGATTGTATGTACCAAATTTCATATTCATACAATTTGTAAAAAAATAAAATACTCTAAGGCATTGGATCTAGATCAAACGGTCAGTGACTCACTTGATGTAAATTGGACGGCTCGATGGAAGGGAAAGTATATGTTTTCTATGCTGTAGGAGAAGTATATAAACCTTTCCCTTAATAAGTTTTTCTTTTTCTTCTATCATGAATTTCTACTTTACCAATAATAAATTACCTAAAATACCTCTAGACAAAAAAGTTACTATATGACGGGATAATGCTCTCAAGTGTTAAAAAATATTGAGTAAATTAAGGTAATGCTCATATGTATGAGTATCCTAACATACATAAAATTTTTAGGGAAAATTAGATGACAATGCCACTCCTCTCCCCCTCAATATTTTTTTTGGGATTGTGTACAATGAGACTATTTATCGTTAGTACAATGAGGTTACAATTAATCCTAGCAATTACATGTTCAATTGGATGGCTTCGAGTGTGTAACAAAGTTCAAGAAACTTTCGAGTGTGTCACGAAGTTTAAAAATTTTTTTGTTGGGCTTTGAGTTTAGTTACAAGTACACTTACAACTATCTGATTTGAAATTTTATGGACAAGAATGGTTGTGACCTCCTTGTAGTAAAAGTAAATAGTCTCTT